GGGCAGTGGATCCCCTAGGAATGGAGTTAGAAATGATGGTTATAAGCCAGTAGGTGAGCCGCTGTTTTGTGTGTGTGTGTGTGTGTGTGTGTGTGTGTGTGTGTATCCCCTAGGAATGGAGTTAGGGATGGTTGTAAACCAGTAGGTGAGCAGCTGTGGGTGTGGGTGTGGGTGTGGGTGTGTGTGTGTATCCCCTAGGAATGGAGTTAGAGATGGTTATAAGCCAGTAGGTGAGCCGCTGTTTTGTGTGTGTGTGTGTGTGTATGTGTGTGTGTGTCCGTGTGTGTGTCCACTTGAACCAGGACTAAACACAGGTCCTCTGGAAGAGCAACCCACTGGAACTTCTGAGCCACCTTCCCAGCCCAGTTGTAACATTTTCAGTGAAAAGAACTGAGTAACAAATGTTATGCTCTTGGGCAATAAACTTCGATGAGAAATTTGGGCAATAATACTATATAGGTCTATGAAACAACTAAAAACACATGGACTTCTGAAGATACTGGGAAGAAGGGAGATTTAATACGCAGTTAATTTAGATTTCTTTAAGCAAATATGCCTAGTTATCCGCGGCTTAGGGGGGGAGTGTGTCAAGACGTAAGACACGACAGAAGTTTAGGTGAGAGAGTGAATGAAGCATCTCCTCTCTAGTCCACCTATGCATGCATTTACGGTAACTGTCACTCTTCCTTTCCCACGAACAGTAAAGCCCTACCGACAGAATGGATGCCCGAGTGCACCACGGCATTGCTCAGCTATCAAAACTGATCATTAGCCATGAGCCCAAGGCATTAGCTTTACCTGCTACTTTTTTTTTTTTTCTCCTTAACCTTTATAAAGCCCAAGGCCGAATTACGGGTGATGTAGTCACCTGGGTTCAAAGTCTAGGGCACTCCTGATCAAGTCAAGAAGCGAACCTAGAGGCCCCCGGGGCCCAGGAGCCCTGGGCAGGGATGGGAATGCGTGTCACCCGGGAGGTGGGGTGGGCGCGGGGCCGGCTGCCCAGACCGCCGTTCTCCACCCCGCTCCCATCCTTCCACCGGCACCGGGAGGGCTGGGGAGGTGGGCGCTCGGTCGGGTCGCCCTGACAGGCTCCAGCAGCGCTCAGCGCTCTCCCGCCAGCGCTGGGCCCCAGCCTCCGGCGCGCCGGGCCGCTTAGGCTCGGGCACCGCGAGGACAGACACCGCCGTCCCCCTAAGCCCCCAGCCCGCGGCCCGCCTCCCAGCCCGGGTGGAGCTGGGGAGGTGGCAGCGACGCCGGTCCTTACCACAGCGCCTTCCTTCCAAGCGAGCTCCGCGCGCCGGTCGCAGCCTCCGCCTCACAGAGCGCCGGTCGTCCCCTCCGCCGCCCTGGAGCAGCCGTGGCACCGCAATCAGGGGCGGCCCCGCCCCGCCCCGCCCCCGGCCTTCGGGAGGGCCCGGGCCCGGGCAACATGGCTGGTTGCCGCCTCTGCCACGTCAAAGGGGAGGAGGCGAGGAGAAGTGCGAGCCACGGAGGGGCGAGGGGAGGGAGGGAAGAGGGAGGCAAGGGGCGGGGACAGTCCCGGAAGGGGCGGGGCGCACCGGTGGCAATGGGCGGGATGAGTGGCGGAAGGGATGGGACGGGCGTTAAGAAAGAGGGTGGGGCGAGCGAAGAAGTCCTGCGAGCCCAGGCAGAGGGGCGGGGATAATTCAGGAAAGGGCGGGGTGAGAAGGAGGCAAGGGGCGGGGACAGTCCCCGGAAGGGGCGGGGCGCACCGGTGGCAATGGGCGGGGAGGGTTGGCGGAAGGGATGGGACGGCGTAATAAAGAGGGTGGGGCGAGCGAAGAAGTCCTGGATAATTCAGGAAGGGGCGGGGCGAGCAGGCGGCAGTGGGCGGGGCGGGGAATAAAATGTGGGACGTGAGTGACGGAAAGGCGCTGCCGGGAAGCTCCCGGGCTCCGGAGTCTGGCTTGATTGTGGAGTTAAAATACCCGGCTGGGACGTGGCTAGCAACGGGAAGAAAAGTGCTCTGTTAACCACCAGATGGAGCCTTCCGGTCTGCTGCCTGTTTGTTGGAATGATTGTTTTCTAGTATACGGGAAAAGCTCTTGCATGGGTTGTTTTTTTTTTTTCCTGACAGATTTTACCCGTGTGTTCAAATGGAGAAAAAAAAAACAAGGCACTAGCCAACAATCTTTGAAGTATTTACTAGAAAAAGATGCTCAGCTTCTCCTAATTTTGAATTTTCGCCAGTGTGTTAAGAGTCAATGAAATGGCTCAGCCAGGAAACTCGCTTGCAGCAGAACTCACAAGGTGGAAGGAGAGAACCTCCTCTCCAAAGTTGTACTCTGACCTCCGCACCTGCTACGACAGGCACGCACCCACACACATGCAAACGCAAAAATCGTAATTTTATATTTTTGAAGTGTCTTTTTAGGCTGGTGGTGGAGGGTCAAGCCTAGAATCCCAATAGTCAAGGTAAAAAAAAGACAGGCCAGCCTAAGTAACATTGTGAACTGTAGACCCTTCTGGGCTACAGAAGAGACGTAGTCTCAAAACCCTAAAAATTGTCCAGGTGTGGTACTTGGTTCATGCCTATAGTTCGAGGACTAAGAAAGCTGAGGCCGGAGGATCACTACAGGTTTGAGGACAACCGGAGCTACCTAATGGGTTCCGGAATAGCCTGAGCTACAAACCACTAAGATCCTATCAAAAAAAGGAGAAAAAAAATTAAACTCTCCATCTATCCGCTCTGTGTCAGTTTTGTTCCCCGAGAAACCAGAAAGGGTTGTAAGATTCAGAGGAATGAAAAGTGCTTAGCAGTGGCTGAATTCTTCAGGACTCTGAAAAATGACAACTACCGCAATGTTGTTCATTAATTTAGAAGATATTCAAGACTCTGAAGTTCACCCTCAGTCCCTGCTCCCTACCCACGCTTTAGAAGAGAAAGTGGAATTAGGTTTTAAAAAAGACCTAGGAATTCTTTAGGAACCACTTCTCTCAGGAATTCTACTCTCCCGCTTCACGCCACCGCCGGAGCCATTAACCTGATGCAACCCGCAAGTTGGCGCGGCTCCGCCCCCTTCAGCCTGTCAGCGCCACCTGAGGCCGCTGAAGCTCCGGCGCCGGGCCGACCCTGGGCGCAGGCGCAAAAGGCATTGGCGGGTTTGAATACCATGGCGTGGGTTCCTGCCGAGTCTGCGGTGGAGGAGTTGATGCCACGGTTGTTACCTGTGGAGCCCTGTGACTTGACGGAAGGTTTCGATCCCTCGGTGCCCCCCAGGACGCCTCAGGAATACCTAAGGAGGGTGCAGTGAGTGATTTTTGTCGTGCCCCTGGGCATGGACCTGGTGCCGCGCCTGACCCTCCGTGTGCCACAGTCTCTCCTCTGTTTGGGTTCCTATCTCTCTCTCTCTCGGGAGGTCTGGGAAGTTTAAGATCCCTGTCTGACAACCTACCGTTGGCAAATACCCTTTGGACTTGATTGCACACACACAAAAGGTGTGCTCTCAAATCTCTTTGCTTTTCATCTAGATAGTGTCGGGCGTTTTTGTTCTTTGACTGGGAGTCTGAATTTTAGATGCGATTTCATAGTGAAGTAAAATGCATCTGTTGTCCTACAAACGAGACGCGAGCATAGCGCAGTAATAAATTTCACACATGGATCTCTTACTTCCAGGATTGAAGCGGCTCAGTGTCCAGATGTTGTGGTAGCCCAAATTGATCCAAAGAAGTTGAAGAGGAAGCAAAGTGTGAATATTTCCGTGAGTTTTACCAACCAACTGGGTATATTCCAACCGCACACAAACAAATGACCAAAGCTTTTCCTGTCTTGTCGAGAATATCAGTGATGGTGTGTAGGGTAACATTAGATTGCTCCCTACAAAGTTAGACACCATTTGGAGGCCAGCCTGCCTTATGAGACCCTCTGAAAAATGTAAATGTGTGTGTGTGTGTGTGTGTGTGTGTGTGTGTGTGTGTGTGTGTATCATTTAAAAGATTACACACACACGATGAGAGGCGGTGGCGCACGCCTTTAATCGTAGCACTTGGAAGGCAGAGCCAGGCGGATGGATCTCTGTGAGTTCGAGGCCAGTCTGGTCTACAGAGCGAGTTCTAGGACCAAAACTACAGAGAAACCCTGTCTCGGGGGTGGGGGGGGCGGGGGGTAGGGAGAAAAGATTACACACACACACCAAAAGTACTTCAATTGCTTACTAATGCTGACCTTTATAAGTAAATTATGAAGGAATTTTTTTCTGACTATACCTTTATAGTTATTATCAACCTGGTGCTTGGTGCACATTCTCCATTTGACGTCGTATTGTCTCAGAATGGAAACACAAATGTCTTAGCATCTTTCTATTCTTTCCATGCGTACTCTGGTCTTTGTTCATTTGCTTATCCAGCACACTTTTCATTAAGCAATTAATTAGTTTGTGCTGGGCACTAGGAACACAGCAGAAGATAAGACCAGGCATGTTGTTATGCACACTTATAATCCTAACACTTGGAGGTAGAGACAAGAGAGTCTGGAGGTCCAGGTCATTCTCTACTACATAAAGGGTTCCAGGCTAGCCTGGAATATAAAAGACCTATTGGAGAAATTATTTTGGCCACTCCACGTAGTTAAAAGGATATTTATTTAATGGCGTAACTCACAAATTAAGTAATGGGTAGGTCGCAGGGTCTGGGGAAGGTGTGACGCAGTCCAGCGGTGTTCTCCGGAGCTCTGCACAGTCAAACTGCACCGGTCAGCTTCCGGGCACCGAGAGAGCGCCCAGAGAGAGCGCTGGCCCATCCAGCTCTCGGGTCCCCCGGCGCCTCCCCTCGCCCCGCCTCGTAGGCGTGACAGTTGCCAGAGTCTCAATGGGGGTTGGAACTTCCAGATCCAAGCTGGAATGGCTACCCACTACAAAGACCCTCATCTCAGAAAGAAAGAATGAGGAAAGTTCCCTGTGCTTGTACAGTAACAGTCTCCTAAAGGACACAGAAAAAAACCAAATAATTACATCATCTGGTCGTTGCATGAAGAAAATAAACAGCACTCAATAAATAAAATAACTACAGGACTGGAGAGATGGCTCAGTAGTTAAAAGCACTGGATGTTTTTCCAGGTGATGCAGGTTCAATTCCCAGCACCCACAGTGCTGCTCACAACCATCTCTAGCTCTGGCTCAAGGGGATCTCTTTTCACCCGCTCAGGTACCAGGCGTGCACATAGTACACAGACATGTATGCAGACAAAACACTCATACACATAAAATAAATGAAACTTCTTAGTCAAAAATCTCTCAGCCAATTATAGTGGTACATGGCTTTAATGCCAGCACTGGGGAGGCAGAGGCTGGCAGACCTCTGTTAAGTTCAAGGCCGTCCTGGTCTACATAGTGATTTCGAGGACAGCCAAGACCACATAGGGAAACCCTATCTCAGGGGGAAAAAAATCTTCTCAATGAAGATTATATTTAACCTAAGATCAGGTTTTTGTTTTATTTTGGAAGGTTTTTGATAATTTTTTTATGTTTGAAGTAATTCCTTTTTTTTTTTTTTTTTTTTTTTTTTAAAGATTTATTTATTTATTATGTATACAGAAGAGGGCACCAGATCTCATTACAGATGGTTGTGAGCCACCATGTGGTTGCTGGGAATTGAACTCAGGACCTCTGGAAGAGCAGTCGGTGCTCTTAACCTCTGAGCCATCTCTCCAGCCCAGTAATTCCTTTAATGTTTATAAGTAGGACATTTTAATTCAGGCACTATAAGGTTTTATATAACTTCACAAATTTTTCTTGATGGCATATGATTTCATGTAAACTTAGTTTATTTCCAATTTACCCCACTGAGTTTTATTAGAAGGCAATAACTTATCATTTGTTAACTGTGTGCTGTTTCAGGAAACTAAAGTAATGTTAGTATTTGGCCACCTTGTTTGAGAACCCTGGGGTTACAGTGCCATTACCATGCCCACCCCCACCTCCAAAAAAAGTATAAAAAAAAAAAAAAGTAGATCTTTTCAAGTCAAGTGCCTTTGAGTTATTGGATACATTTTGACCATTCCAAAATTCTTTATTTAGGGTATATCTCTCTTTTTGTTTCTCTTCAGTATTATAGAAAAGTAGAATTAAGTTATATCCTTCAGGTTCATAGCATTCAGATTTCATAGAAACTTCCCCCACAACATTCAGTCTATATTTTTCTAAGTAAAATGACAAAGGATCTCTTTTTATTTTTAATTATTTATTTATTTTTATTTTATATACATTGGTGTTTTGCCTGAAAGTATGGCTGTATGAGGGCATCAGATCCTCTGGAACTGGAGCTGCAGACAGTTATGAGCTGCCATTTGGGTGCTGGGAATTGAACCCAGATCCTTTGGAAGAGCAGTCAGTGCTCTTAACCACTGAGCCATCTCTCCAGCCCCAAAGGATCTCTTTTATTAACTGGTCCATAGACTGTAAACTACCTGCTTTCCTGCTCTGATAAAATATACCTTTATTCTCTTAAATAATCTTATCACTAAAACATACTTACTCTTCGTCTTGGTTTTACTCTTATTCGGCATAGGCACATATCTAGACATAAAGTGGACTCTAACACTTGTGAACTGATTTCCAGCTTTCAGGATGCCAGCCTGCCCCTGAAGGTTATTCTCCAACACTTCAGTGGCAGCAGCAACAAGTGGTACGGTTTTCAGCTGTTCGACAGGCAAGTATCTCTTCTAATCAAGTTAAACCTCCTTCAGGTGTATTTCTGTTCTTAGACTGTAATTGGGAAAATTATAAATATATAAGTATTTATGAATCAATTACCAAATTATTCTATTCACTAGATATATTTGGTATGTGTGCATTTTCTAAATTTTAGGATAGTTGGAATTTTGTACAAAAACTTACTTCTTTTTAGTTTTTCATTCTCTGATGATCATTAACTTGTTTTCCTGTAGAGTGTGAACAAGCATAGAAATCACTGGAAATCTCAGCAGTTGGATAGTAATGTGACAATGGTATGTGAGTTTCTTGGCTTAAGTTGTCCAGTATATGTCTTTGTGAAATAATCCATATTCTAGTCTTTAAAGAGTTAATTGCTTGGTCTATATTATTTTTATTTTCCTTCATATGTCAATGTATATATGTATCAGTTTGTTATACTAGTAGCCTGAGTCAGTTCATGTTTTGGTCTTGTGTTTGATTTTTTTTTTAAGACAGAGTCTCACTATATTGCCCCAGCTGGAGTGAAACTCATTAGTAGACCAGGCTAACCTTAAACACAAGGGATTTGCCTGCTTCTGCCTCTGGAGTGCTGGAATTAATTGGTGGCATGCAGCACTAAGCCTGGCCCATGACTGTTTTAATTCACTTTATCTTGAGAGACTTAGAGTGTGTGAAAGTTGTCAGAATCAAAATAGAGTATTACTGCTGCCTCAGTTCTAACAAAATAATAAGGCTGAGAAGTTAGAGCGTGTTCTTACGGATTATTGCCTAATAATAGCCACAAAAGACTGTCAAAATGCAATCTTACGAGAGACCACCACCACCTTAAACTTCTAAGGCGGGCACAGTGGCATCTCCTGTAACCCCAGCACTCTGGAGGCTGAAGCTGGAGGATCATAAGTTTGAGGCCAGCATGAATAATTTAAAAGTCAGCCTAGGCTATAGGATAATCTTATCTCAAAAAAGCAAGTAAACAAAGTACTTCTACAAGGACATCTGCCCAGCTGTTCACCGGCAGACTGAGTTTTCAAAACGTTTGCTGTGGTCCTTTCCTCAGCCTCTTCAAGTACTCCTATAGTTTCCTGTGGTGTATATTTTTCCTTGCAGTGCTAGGGATTGAACTCAGGGCCTTGCATATGTAGTTCTTACCCCTACCCCCCTAGCCCTTGCTTTCTTAAAACAAAGTCTACTATGTGTAGCCTTAAACTTGGAATCCTCAAGCCTTTACCTTCCAAGTGCTGGGACAGGCATGTGCTATCATGTGGGCGTCTATTTTTTTTTTTTTCATTTAGGTTAACAGATGGTGACCCTGTGACCTCTCCAGGCTTTTAAGGATTCTTCTAAACTGTTGCTTTTTTGGAATGTAAACACATTTTTAGGATCTAAAAACACTGAAGGGAGGCTTATAGATTTTCTTGGTGAGATATTGATGCCGTGCAATGAGCACATTTATATGCTTCACAGTAGCAGACACAGTAGTGAAGCCTGTGGTCCATATTGGGAGATACTGCTCTCTGTATCATAGCAGTTTATATATAATTAATTAAGCTCCTCAAATATTAGCAGCTAGAGTAAATATTGGAATTGGAGAAGAGGTGAATACATAGTTCTAGCCAATTTTCTTAAACCTTCTAGGGAATCACACATCTAAGAAAGCGATGAAAGCCATTTATCTTCTGAAAGAGAAGAAAATGTATTCTTTATGATCCCAATGCCCCCTTATAAATAGACCAGTCAGGGGCCGGTGAGATGGCTCAGTCTGTGAAGGCATTGACCATGTGAGTTTGGTCTTCATGACCCACATAGTGGAAGGAAAGAACTGACTCCTTCGAGCTGTTCTCTGACTGTACACACACAAATGAGTAACAGAAATGGGCTTGGGTTTTTGGAAAAGAGGCCATCAAGGCCAGTTAGCGTTCACTCTTGCAGCTTTAAAGGTCAGATCTCCAACAGCAGTCACAGCCTACAGTTCTGACAGTTAGGGCTTCAACATGGGAATTTGGAGAGCGTACACAATTATGTCCTTAACTAGCACCATGTCTTTAAGTTGGGGTAATCAAAATATAGGGAACTCTCACTTCTCCTTTTTAAAGAAAGTGAGCCCAAATTTTTATTTGTTCGTTCCTTACATTTGAAGTTACCTTCAGTAACATTTTTGGCCTCACTTCTTTTCTTACTGTTCAGTATAAAAAATAAATAGAAATAAGGTTTTTTTTTTTTTCTTTCAGCCGAAATCTGAAGATGAAGAAGGCTGGAAAAAATTCTGTCTGGGTGAGAGGCTGTGTGCTGAAGGGGCTGTTGGACCATCTACAAATGAAAGCCCCGGGATTGACTATGTACAAGTAGGTGATGCTGTGGGTCAACACAAGTGACACAGAAGTGCAGACATCGATTGGTACACTGGAGTGAGCAGTTCACAGCTGCCACCAGATTCAAGCCACAAACTGTGTACACCTCATGACCCAAGAGTCGCTTGCTCTTCTTTCACAGGTTGTTAAAAAACAAAGCCGAGTATGGCTAAGGCAATATGTGGCTGGCAAAGACTGTCTGATCCTGTGTAGAAAATACTTAACTTCTCACTAAGCTCACTGGCTGTTTAACTTAGAAAGTATCAGTTCAGTTTCTAATTACTGGGCTTCGTACTCTCTCTCGTGTGTTAGCTATATAATGATTTTATGAGTTAAAAGATATTCTGTTGTGGAAGGGGTTTTTTGTTTGTTTTATTTTGGGACAGGGTCTCATTGCTGGAGCTGGCCTTGACATCACCTTCCCACCTGAGTCTTTTGAGTAGCTAGGATTATGCATATATACTGTCCTGTCTACCTAGGATTCAGGTTTTGCTGATTTGTTTGTGTGTTTTGGTTTGGTTTCTGTGAAGCAGAGCTGGTAATTAATAAAGACATTTTAATATGAATTCAAGCACAAAGAGTAGTATAGAAAGAGGCACTCAAAAATACACACCCTAGAGCATAGGTGTGTACGACATCTCAAGAGTTGCTTTGGGGTTTGGGTGGTTTCGTTTGTTTTGTTCTGTTTTTAATGATTGGGCATGGATTAAATATTAAGTTATAAGTAGTCAGAAACACAGGAAAACATGATAATTAGAAAACTCTTGCTTTTGTTGGCTTTTGTTTTTTTGTTTTTTGTTCTTTTTTCAGATAGGGACTCACTGTGTAGCCCTGGCTGGCCTGGAACTCCCTGTTTAGACCAGGCTGTCGTCAAACCCAC